TTCCTCTCCTACCTACTCTTCCTCTGTGTCCTCCTCTCTGCCCTCTTGGCCATGCCCTTCTGACGCGCCTCTGCCCTCCAGCCGTGACGTGCGGGCCGCCGCCGGTCTTCGCCAACGCCCGCTACACGCTCCTCAACGGCTCCACGCACTGGAACGGCATCGCCGTCTACTCCTGCGCCGACGGCTTCAGGCTGCACAGAGGTCAGTGGCGTTGCTCTCTTCTTTCTGCCTTGGTGTTGGGCTTTTCACAGGGCCTTGTCTGTCATGAGTGATGGCCGATGGCCAGTCTTCAGTCTCGCCTGCGCCTAACCCCTCCCCTCCCCCGCAGACACGGGCGACACCGTGTCCACGTGCATGGACAGCGGCAGCTGGAAGTTCATCAACGTCACCTGCATCCCCGTGGAGGCGGCGGCGACGGCGGCGGGCGTGCGGCGGGGCAGCGGGCGGGCGCTGACATTCGACCAGGACGCTGCGGGCGCGGCGGAGCCGCAGGGCACGCAGGGCCTGGTGGTTGCCCTGGCCATCATGGCGGGCCTTCTGACGGCGGCCATGCTGGTGGTGGGCGTCCTCCTGGCACGGCGCCACCTCATCTCCGGCCCCGGGTCGCTGCGCTCGCTGGTGCGCTCCTCGCCCACCAAAGACGCCACGCTCTACGGCGCCATGGTCGGCCCGCGCCACCACGACGTCTCCAACACCGTCAGCGCCAGTAGCGTCGCCGGGACCACGCCCAGCTCCCTGGGCCCCATGGGCGGGCCGGGCGCGCCTCCGCCTAGGGGCGCGCTCTTCCAGCAGAACCTGCTGGCCAACCTGCCGCTGCGGCCGCCCGACCAGCACAGCCTCGCCGGCAGCCACGGCACCGCCGCCACCGCCTCCGAGCTCGACGACGACCCCAACTACGCGCAGATCCCCGGCCAGGAGCCGCCGTACGAGCGCGTGCGCACCCGCTCCGAGCACAGCTACGAGACTCTGCGCAAGAAGAGCTTCGCGTCCGACCTGGACAGCGAGGCCGGCAGCGCGCTGGACGACAAGGACAGCGTGGGCTACGAGTCCCTGAAGGACGCCAAGGGCAAGGACTCGGGCTACGAGACGGTCAGGGAGAAGGACCACGACTACGAGACGGTCAAGAGCAAGGAGCCCGGCTACGAGACGCTCAAGGGCGCGGCGGACCACGGCTACGAGACGGTGCGCGAGGCGGGGCCGCGGCACCACGGCTACGAGACGCTCAAGCCCAAGCCTCCGCCGCCCAGGACTGAGGGCGGCGCCGGCGAGGGCGAAGACACGGTGCCGGACATCCTGCAGAACCTGTCGAGCGGCGCCCAAGGCGGCGACGTGCCCCCCGAAATCATGGCGCTCTACGCCCGCGTCGACAAGACCAAGAAGCGCCGCCGCGCCGCCGCCAGCGACTCCGACAGCCCGCTGCCGAGCGCGGCGAGTTCCCCGACGCCTCCCGACGCCGAGATCCCTCCCTCCTCGCCGAGCAGCGACTTCAGCCACGCCCCCACGAGCTCTGGCGTGAGCAGCGCTTCCGCCCACTCGCCCGTGTGCCCCAGCATCAGCAGCACCAGCAGCACCGCCAGCATCAGCGAGCCGCCCACTGACGTGAGCTTCGTCAGCGAGGCGAGCGCGCCGGCCGCCGGCGCCCAGGCGGCGCGAGAACTGATCCGCAAGTTCAACCGCCTCACCAGCGACGAGGAGGCGCCCTTCCCGCGCAGCCGCCAGGGCAGCGTCGCCAGCGACACGGGCAGCCTGCGCCCCCTGCCGCCCCTGCCCAAGGACAGCAGCTCGCCCACGACCCCCTGAGGGAGTGAGGCCAGCCACTGGCGGTCCCCGGGGCGAGGTGTCCCGAGGGTTTGCCTCGAGAGCAAAATGAAAAAAGAAAACGGACTCGGATGTGAATTCGAAAGAACAGTGAAGCGAAAGGCGTTCTTTGCATTTTACGTGACTTGTGCGATGCACTGAACTGACGAGAAACTGGTTCACTCTGCCAGTGCTGTGATGCATCCTTGTTCAACCCAGATTGTTGTTCAGGAAATTCAGATTTGAAAGACATTTTTGCAAAGAAACTTTAAACGATTCTTCATGAATGTAGATCAGCTGTTTATTGCTTCAGAAAATATATATATTTAAAATCTATATTGAGAGTTCCCCGCGATCAATGCATATTTGTATGTAACCTTGTATAATTGTATAAAAGTGATATCGTACTATGTTAGGTTTTAGCTTTCTACAAGTTAAAAGCGACTGTGTTAATACAATGTTAATATGATGCATATATGCCGCACAATAATATTCATAATATAGTTTTATGAACTAATTTCTTTTAACAGAGTATACTTTCTTCTTTTCTTTTGGTAAAATATGCAGGAGACATGGACGAGAGAAAAAGATTACCAATGTTTATAGGTTAGTTATCTTTATATTCAAATTATTCCTGTACAGCGGTATGCTGCATAAAATAGCAAAGCATACACTCTACTTACATTCACATGCAAACACACAC